CAGGTGGTTGTTTAAAAGTGTTTTAAAGTGTCATCACTCCTTGAGGAATTAAAAATGGAACTTAAAAAACAGAAAGAAGATGCAGAAGAGGGAAGAGGATCTTTTGGCTTCGTATTTCAATTTTTAGAAATGGAGATTCTGAACTATGAAAAACAAGAAATGCTTGAAGAGCAAGAAGAAGGGTGGGACAAAGAAGAAGTCATCTTTAATAATCAAATAATGCAATGTGGGGTAAAAGTGGGAAAAGGAGTTAAAAGCTTAAGATTAAAGGGAACAACTAAAAAAAGAACAGTTTGAAAAAGAAACACAACAGTAAGGAGAAGCAGAAAAGACAATTACAGAAGGGAGAGTTAGAGAGAAAGGGGGACAAAAAGTGGGGTGAGAAAAAGGGGGGAAATAGAAAGGAAAAGAAGTTATAACCCTTATAATATAAGGGACAAAAGCAGGAAATAAAGAAATGGGAAACGTACAAGGATTAAAGGTATTAGCTTACACAGATAAACTAAATTGTTAAACTAAATTAAAAGTGAGAATTCTGCAAGGGTACAAAAGATAATGTTATTATAGTAGAATATAAATAATGAGTTAGAAATGAAATAGGTGATTAAACTATAAGATAAAACTGTATTGTTGTGTAATGTTAAGTTTATTAATAATTAATGTAATAATGAGAGAAAGGAATAAGATAAAAGAACTTGAAATAAGAAGGAAGGGAAATATTTTAACTGTTTTTAAAGATTGATAAAATACTATTGAAAAGAAATGTGAAAGATTTACAATGAAATTAATACCAGTTGTTAGGATGAATTTGCATAGAATAATTATTTTGTTTATTATTTTTTATACACACACACACATATTTGTTTTCTGAGGTTTTCACGGGTGTTTGTATGTGGATCTTTGGTTATTTGGGTTTTCTCCTACGTAAAATTGGAAGTATCTAGGCGACATTTCGATGAAGTCTCATTCATCATCTTCAGGCTTGTGTCTTCGGCTTTGTGCTTCTTGGAGTAATGTGAGCTTGCAGCTGCTTCTTCCTTTTAACTGCTAGTGGGGGTGTGACTTGATTGGGTGGGGGCTGTGTTCTGATTGGGTAGGAGTGTGTTCTCATTGGTTGGGGTTTTGGCTGTGTTCTGATTGGCTGGGGGTGTGTTCTGTTCAGGTGGTGGCTTGATTGTGTTCAGGTTAGTCTTAGTTCCCAGGCGATTTGAGCTGGTGAGCTGTGATCCTGTTGTTTGGCTTCGCATTCGTGGTCGTGCCACATCTTCATGGTGGGCGTCAGTTCGTTTCATGTATGGGTCGGAGGGGTTTGAAGCGGGTAATGATGCAGCTGCAGTACAGCTTCTGGACCATGGTCATGTCCCATCTTCTGTGTGGGTGTGAGTCTGCTTTCTACGTGGAAGTGTGGTGGTAGCATCTTGTGTGGCCCTCGTGGGTGTGGGTCTGGTGTCATTCTTCATGTTAGGTACTCGTTTGTTAATGAGGGCAGGTTTCCAAATGGCTGGTAGGCAGGAGGTATCATCCCGTTTATTCATGCTGTGTGGGCGTTTTTCTATCTCTATGGCTTCTCTGATTATTCTGTTGTTGAAGTGTTCGGTTTTGGCGATAGTTCTGGTATTTTTAAAGTCAATCTCATGTCCTGTGGCTTTGAGGTGTTGGACCAGGAAAGAAGTCGGTTCTTCTTTTTTGATTGAGTTCTTGTGTTCTTCAATGCGTGCACTTATTCTTCTGTTAGTATGTCCAATGTATGTGGTGGGGCAGGCAGTGCAAGGGATTTCATATACTCCTTGGTTTTCTAACTCGATTTTGTCTTTAGGGTTTCTTAGGATGGTGGATATTTTTCTGTTTGTGCAGAATGCTGTTTTAATGTTGTGTTTTTGGAGGATCTTGCTGATTTTGTCTGTAGTGCCTTTTTAAATATGGGAGGAGGGCTTTGCCGTTCTCTTGTTCTCTGCCTTGGATTTTGGTTTTAAATATGTGTTGATCCAGATAAAAAGCCAATAGTTTTTCTAGCCAGCCCCATCACAATATCTTTTTTCAACATTTTCTTTTACTCTAGCATACACCTTTTGTTATTCTGAAGTTGCTTAAAAAGTTGTTATTCCTGCATGAAGATGAAAATTGTCAGAGTGGGCGAAGACATCTTATATCTATGTTTCTGTCCTTATAGTTTCTAAGAGATGTTTTGGTTTTTGAATTGGCAAAATAGATGTTTTGGGATTTGGAAATTTGGAAACACTGCATTCCTCTGAAGTATGACAACAAGACCTTCCTCAACAATTCTAGCTGTGTTCCCACAGAGATAAGACTGCTATTCTGAGAAATGAAATAGAAATTCTATCTAGAATATAATATCTCTAGGAATTTATAAAAAGTCTCCTTTTAATGGTTACTATTTATGGCAACCCAACCCCACATCCATCAAAGGTAATGAGTGAATGAATTTTTAAGTGCTTATCTGAGAAGTTCAAAACATGATATTACTATGTAAGCCAGCCTGCTCCAACTTACTGATATACTGAAACAGAAAAGGCTGTGCTGCTAAGAATTCTTAGTAGTATAACTCCAACATATAAGGAATGGTAGATTAATCTAATAGTCTAGATCAGGGATGTCAAACTCGCAGCCCACAGGCTAGATGTGTCATGCACTGGCCATGCCCACCCCTGGTTTAGCAAAGGGCAAAAGTTGTGATACATCACATGACAACATGTTGTCACGAGTTTGACACCCACGGTCTAGATAATTTAGTTTTGTTATTTTCAAAGAAAGAACATGGAGTTAAAATAATGCCATAATTAGGGGGAAATAGACAGTTTGAAATTATGCTGGTACTCTAATACATAAATGCATCTTTATCGTAATTAGCCTTCATTGTCTGATAGCTTTGGAAGGCAGTAAACTGTTATAAGCATTGAACCAGGCTTTGCTGATTTGCTGAACAAAGTAAACAAATCTGGACCTAGTTAGAAACTTGTTTGGGAAACTAATAGGAAATACAATCAATGTGGAGGATGAAGTAGATAATCACGAACCACTGCACCAAAACACTTTACAGGGATATGTTTATGCAGTATATTTAACCATACTCTAATAATGTATCTTGATTTTCAGGAAGTATGAAAGTCAAACAAATCATGGCATTTGGTGGCTTGAATTCATACCAAACCATTTGTTTTAACTTTGTGGAATAGCAATAGCAATAGCACTTAGACTTATATGCCGCTTCACAGTGCTTTACAACCCTCTCCAAACGCTTTACAGAGTTGGGATATCGCCTCCAACAATCTGGGTCCTCACTTTACTGACCTTGGAAGGATGGAAAGCTGAGTCAACCTTGAACGGGTGAGACTCGAACTTCCAAATTGTGGCAGCCGGCAGTCAGCCGAAGTAGCCTGCAGTACTGCATTCTAGCCACTGCACCAACACAGCTCGTAATTGGTAATTCATTTCTGTCAAGGAATCATAAGGTTGAGGACACCAAAGTGGATTGATATTATATTTATTCTCATGTATTTATTTTTATTTGTTGACTAAGTTCATGCGACTTTGTAAACAAAGCTGGGAATCCTTATGGAGTCTGTAGTATATAAAACTACTATATATAGATAAGGTAAAAAAAATAGCATCCACAAACATTGATGGCTTTGCTACTGAATATCTATGCACAAATGTGGTTTGTATACCACAAAATGCCACTGGGATGCCTGAGGCAGATATCTTTCCAAGCCAAGAGTATAGTGGCTCATTTCACACTAAATAGCAAGCCCTTAATAAGCCAGTAAGCGGTCCTTGGTACTCTCTGAGCTTGGTTGTTTTTTTGCAACTGTTTCATTTCCAAAACTAGGTAAAATCATCAATGCTAGTCATGAATCACAGTTAACACATCTTAATGGGTGAGTATATATACCACAGTAAACCCAACCCAGATTATGGCTTAGTGCATTGTGCAAATATTTATTTATTTTATTCTGTGAATAGCAGCCATTGTGGAAAGCTGACCAGCACTGGGACTGTAGAAGATAGGAAGGAGGTATTTTAGTTTTCTCTTCCATGTTAGAATGGATCCTGGAGGCTTCTTTTGAAAAACAAACAGAACAATTTTTGTTGGGTAGGTTGGGAAATTGTTCTCTCACAATCATTGTGGCATACGTATCTCAACTTTTCAGTTATTAAGGGGGAAAATAGATTAAGATGAGGGATTAGAAGATAGATAGATGATAGATAGATAGATAGATAGATAGATAGATAGATAGATAGATAGATAGATAGATAGATAG